GCTAGGTCCCACTTATAATCAAGCAATTCGTATTGCAATTGGGCTCCTACCGTCCACTCCTGCGGACTCGGCATGTGTTGAATTCGGTGCCCTGCCTTGCCGGTACCAAGTTGCCGAGACCCTGGTAAGCAGAACAATAAGATATTTGGAGAAGACTGCAGGAAACGAAGAAGTCTGTCTCCTCAGAGAGGAGAACAGAGCTCTAAGGAACCAGTGTCGAGACTACATTGGACCGGAACCAGAGGATGAACAGAACCAAGCCTTCACGTTGACCTCTCGGTTGCTAGACGATTCCAGGCTGGTAACAACTCGCGATGAATGCACGCATACGTGACTGAACTGCTTCGTACGAAATACTCCGACCACCACCACAGATATACGGATGGCTCTAAGACCTTGGGAAGAGTCGGCCTTGGAATTGCAGATCCCGCTGCCAGTTTTTTCTTCCGACTCCTGGACCAGTGCTCTGTGTTCTCTGCCGAAAGTGCGGCAATCTTCCACGCCATTACCATGCACGCCAGCAAACCGTTCTGTATCCTTTCGGACTCTGCAAGTGTTCTAACAGCTTTGGAATCCCAGACATCCAGACATCCTTGGATCCAAGGGATCCAACTGGAAGCTCCGTCGTACACTACCTTCCTATGGATCCCCGGGCATTGCGGGCTGGCTACTAAAACCGTTCCAGGACTTGATATCTAGACTTGGATGAAGTTCAAACTTCGGAATGCTTACCACCAAGTGGCAAGATTCCCCGAACCGTCATGACCAACTGATTCTTTCTCGTCTCCGCTCAGGACATACTCGGACGACCCACCATATGGGAAGTGCGACTTCGTTCCGAAAACACTGTGATATTTGCAACACAAAGATGACGGTAGAGCACCTCTTAGAGAATTGCCCAGCTTTCCAGGGAATTAAGGATCGTTATGGGATACCGACGAACATTAGAAGCGCCTTGGCCTATGGCCCTTCAACCGAAGCAGCTGTTATATGTTTCATCAAGGACGCCAACATGTATAAGAACATCTGACCTCACTGACAAGAACCAACCATAACCGACCCACTGCATCGAACCAGGACCAACCGCTATAACGGACTCTGAATACACCACCATAACAATTAACCAAACCAGGAACATCTACTGACTACGACAGCACCTCGACAGTCAACTCTGATAAACAAATACTCTGTTACTAGGGAGGTCTCTTCTGGACGGTCCACTTCTCTTAATTAGTGGGTCCCTTCTGGATACCCCACCTCATTAACTCTATAACTAGTCGGTCCCTTATGACTCCCCACCGCTATTTCAAACTCTGTCACTAGGGGGGACCACTTCTTTATTCCCCAATATTCGTTAAGAGATGAACCAGCCTCTGGCTGAAAGTCGCGCTAATAAAGATAACCTAACCTAGCGTCGTTCCATGCGGAGGCCCACGAGTCGTTCAAAGCTTTGTCGACCCACTTTTTCAGGTCTGCAGCTAGTACTGTATCGGTGTATGCCGTGGCCTGCCTGCCAGAGGCCGCCAGGTGGCGTTTTATTTTACGAATTCCTCTGGAAGGTTCTTCTGACTTTCACCGGATTATTCCATTCATGCTACTGCTACTCCTGGAAGTTTATTCCGATTTTCCCCAGAAGGTGTTCTGACTTCCTCCTGTAGTTTTTAATGACTTCATCTGGGAGTTTTTCTCTTTCAGACTTGCTCTGAAAGTTTCTTCTGACTGACATTTGACAATTCATTCAATTTCTCCTGGAAGCTCCTTCCGAGTTCCCCCAGAAGTTCTGCTGACCTGACCCGAAAGTGTCTGTCGACTTCCTCTGGGATTTTCTCTAAACTTTCCATGAAAGTTTCTTCCGTCTTGACCCGGAAATTTCTTCCGACTTTTCCTGAAGTTTATCTTCCGACAGAGTGGGTCATCTTCCTCTGGAAGTTTCTTCCAACATTCTCTCGGATTTTCTCTAACTTCACTGGAAGTTCTTCTAACATCTCCAAAAAGTATCCATCAGCTTCCACTGGAAATTTTTCTTAATTTATTGATAGTTCTTGACAGAGTATGTGTGGCCTAACTTTAAAAAAAATGTCTATTTAGCATACCTTTTTAAGCTGTCTAGCAGGAAACGAACTAGTTTCCCTAGAATTGGGAAACGCAGTTTTTGGTGATTAGATTGAATTAGCGAAAATGTATTCCCATTCGTCATTTTTACAAAATCTCCCCATACACAACAACTGGTCTGTTCGCTTATTTAAGTTCCATGAGTTCGTCACCACCCAAGTAATCACCAAGTCCGCTAATAGCCCGATAATCGCCTTATGTGCAATATAAGGTTAATATTAGGGCTTCCATACTTTTTATTAGCCATATATTAGCTTAATATTGCAAAAAGAGCGATTAGCGGGCTTGATGGTTACTTGGGCATCCTTGCCAAACGGTTCGGATTCAAACGATTACTCAGTCTTTCAACTTCAATCTGATTACATTTTCATGACTGAGCAAACCTGAAATGTACGCAATGTAAAATACGGCTGATTTCGAGATGCCGATAATAGAATAGCTGGTTAACACGCAGTTTAAATTGAAAGGTTGTTGCCAAAGAAAAGGAGGCGGCCGACAATAGTCTCACTCACTTGAGAAGTTTGGGGTTGTTCATGAACTACGTAGACTCTTTAGGGGGGGCTGACAAATATCTACGGTTCATACAAATTTCTAAACAATTCTAAAACCTCTAAAAATGTGTCTACGTAGTTTATGAACAGCCCCTTTGGAGCGTTGTAAAAACGTTTTCAAACCGTTTTGGACAGTGTTGGTGATTGGAATGAATAGAATAGCAACCCGAGCAAAGTGGTTAACAAAATGAAAGCAAATCGATATTAAAGTGTGCAGTTCCTATCATAATGAAAACTCATTTTGATTTCAAATGTTGCGACATAAGTCTGATATCATATTGTGTGTGTGTGTGCGCGCGCGTGTGTGTGTGTGTGTGTGTGTGCGTGTGTGTGTGTGTGCGTGTGTGTATGTGCGCGTGTGTGTGTGTGCGTGTGTGTGTGTGTGTGTGTGTGTGTGTGAGTGTGCGTGTGTGTATGTGCGCGTGTGTGTGTGTGTGTGCTAAAAAATTGCTAATAGAAGTGCAGACGCAGCTTAGATTGACGAGAATACGTAAATTCTCCACTTATTGGGTTCTTTAATTTTGATAAATAAATCGGTTTTTATATATCACTAGCTGAGTGTGCCCGGTCTTGCTCGGGATTCAATATTAGCTTGAGTTTATGCGCCGATTTAAAAAAAAGCATGCTATATTGTACGTAGCCCCCCCCCCCTATTATCTAAGGGGCTACCCCCTATGATTATCTCCTTATACCCCCACACTCGCCCCCACATGCCTAATTTGGTTCCATTTGCTTGATTAGTTCTCGAGTTATGCAGAAATTTCTGTTTCATTTGTATGACAGACAGACAGACAGACAGACAGACAGACAGACAGACAGACAGACAGACAGACAGACAGACAGACAGACAGACAGACAGACAGACAGACAGACAGACAGACAGACAGACAGACAGACAGACAGACAGACAGACAGACAGACAGACAGACAGACAGACAGACAGACAGACAGACAGACAGACAGACAGACAGACAGACAGACAGACAGACAGACAGACAGACAGACAGACAGACAGACAGACAGACAGACAGACAGACAGACAGACAGACAGACAGACAGACAGACAGACAGACAGACAGACAGACAGACAGACAGACAGACAGACAGACAGACAGACAGACAGACAGACAGACAGACAGACAGACAGACAGACAGACAGACAGACAGACAGACAGACAGACAGACAGACAGACAGACAGACAGACAGACAGGTCTGAAAGAGCTTCGTTTTCTGAGCATAGCGATATTTTTTTCGAACCCACACACTTTCATCTCGATTTTTAAATCAAGATTTAAAGCAAAATAATAACTTCACTGTTTGATAATAAACTGACAAACTGACAGCTTGCTCCCATACAAAGTGACCCCGAGGAGTGCTAATAAGGTGATTTTTGCAAATGTAATCGTACTTATTTAAAATAGTTCCAGTGTACCAAAATTGATGAACTTTAGGGTTTAGGTTCCATTTTTAATGCAAATTACGAATATTCATTTACCTCAATACCCTTAAAGAACCCAATTGAAAATGTTTTATTATTCTTTATTAACCTTTCAGAGCACGCGCAAACTTGTGTAACATTTCACTCGTGCATTGCATTAAATACAACAGTATGCATTTTTCACTTTGAGGGCACTTAATGAAACCTGACATGGGTATTAAATTTCATGAAACATGTTGAGTTTGACATTGAGCGAGTTCCAAATTCAGTAGGGTTCTTAATTTTAGCTGCACCGAATACCTACGCCGCAAAAACGAAAACGACAATAGTTTGGGAGGGTGAGTTTTTATTTGTTTCAGTTTCAAGATGGGCCCTTCTGACTTGTTTCACCTGTTAAAATATGAATTTTCAACGACAGAACTGCAAACTGTTCCATTTTGAGTACGTTTTGGATCCACCTTGGAACTTTAGTGGTGTCTCTAAAACAAATTCCGAAAGTTTGTTGAACATGCGTACAATTCAATTGCACTAGAAATCTCAGAAGTACACCAAGCTTGAATAAGTCTTCGTCATTTGCAATAGTTCTCTGAACTTAACCCTGATGTTCCCTGTAAACCAGGTTCATCCTCCAAGTCAACTGGATCCATCTTGAATATTCTTCAGATAGTGATATCGACTGTAGACTTGAAGCCAGACCTGGGGCTCACTGGGGAAATAGAAACAAATAATTGTGAATCCCTCAACCAGTTTTCAACTTGACAGCTCGAAAGCCTTTCACTAATTGGGCTATGGGGCTAGCCCAAAGACCGAAAGTTGAGTTGACTTTCTTCAATATACAACCAAATAAACAATATTTTCACCGGAACTAACATTGAAATACTTGAATACAGGCACTTACCCTAAACACTCCAAATCACTTCGCCTCGCATGCGCACCCATGTGCGCATCCCTCGAAGTGAACTCCAGTGTTCCATCGTGGGCCCGACGTTGGTCCATGCAGAACGGCCTATGCTGACCGGCACTGTCGATGAACTTCGACGCCAGGCCAAAATCAATCAGGTGGATCCGTTCCTCCAAGGGACCAACACCGCCCTGCTTGCTGCGTTTCTTCTTGTGGTCCTCCTCCCTATCGCACGCCGCCACCTTGGCTTCCACCTTAAATGCCGTCCCTTTACGACTGATCTGCACATCGATCTGCTTGAAATTTTCGCCCATATTCTTGGTCGTAATGTGATAGAAGAACGATTTGCTGCTGTCCCCATCCGTCTTCCACTTGCGCTTTTTCTTGCTATTCTTCAAATCCTCATCGTCGCTATCGTCCCGGTAGACAATGTTCTTCAACGGTCGTAGATAATGGGACTTGACCATGTTCTGGTAGGTTTCGGAATCGGCCGCCCCGCTGCCCCGACAGGATCGAACCGGATTCGATCCGCTAAATTCTACAGATTTCTTCACCATAACCGTCGGTGTCGAAAGAAACCCAGAGTAATCCGCGCCGGCAGCTGCAGTCTTCTTTTTATTTGGCGATTTTTCACTGTTGTTTGCACAGTAGCTGTTGGTCAGCTTTGCACTCATGACATTGGCCAGCTCCGAAACGGGAACCTTCCCGATCATCAAATTCTCCGCTTTGATGTCCGAATGGACGTAGCCCTTGTCGTGCAGGTGCTCCAGGACATCCAAAATCTGGCAAGCGACGATGGGAATACTTTTCGGATCGACCCGTTTGTTCTTGATCAGCGAGTGCAGATCCCGTTGGTAGCGTTTCAGGATCAGGAAACGATAGCGTTCGTTCTTGAAGTAGTGCGAACCGGAGGCGATGTACTCCGGCATGCCCGGTGGAATGGGATTGGTTTCTGGTTTGAAACAAGCGACAGGAGATTCATTACTTCCGGTACTTTCAGATGACGAATAACCATACAAACCTGATCGCTTAGCCGTATTGAGCAGCGCGTGAATCTCCACAAACAGTGGCCCATTGGAGTGGGGTTCGATTTTAACCACGTACTTGGCATTTTCACTAGTGACCGGCTTGAAGACGTCATCCGACGCGAGAAAGATCTCCCCAAAGCTGCCTTTACCTATGTTTCGAATGGAAGAAAAATTTACTTGCTTTTTCTATAGACATAATCGAAGTTGTTACTAACCAATCGGCTTCCCGATGCGCCAGTCCTTGAGCGTCAAATCCGTCAGAATGGTGCCATCGACAAACTCCCTGGTGAGGGTGAAGCTAACATTCAACGCCGGACTGCAGCTGGTGGGCGTTTCGAAGGCCACCTTCTGCCGTTTCTGGGGAGTTTCGTACTGGTGAGTTTCGCTGTCCACAGCATGTCGCTTGCCCATATTATTCTGCGATTGCGAATTTGTGTACTGTTGTCGTTTTTCGCCCTGTTGGCGACCAAGAAGAGAGGTTTTTGATCTTTTCCCTTGGTCGTCGTGATTTGTTTTTTTTATGGCTTTGCAAGTCGTGTGTATGAGCACTAAGCAGCAACGGTGTGGAACGCGTTCACTTAAAATCAGACCGTCGGATCGTCAGTGTGTTTGTTTTGTTCGAATTGCTGCCGTTGGAGATGGCTGTAAAAATAAGAAAGAAAAAAACATGCAAAAGTGAGGAAACATGTTGCCTATGTTGTATGCGCTGGGTGGTGTCGGTGTGTGTTTTGTTTTTATACTCTGCTTGGCAAGAGTTTTGCTCTGTGGTGGAAAGAAATATACATGCTCCTCTTGAGAAATGGACGAAACGGTTGGTGGTGAAAACATCACTTAGTGATTCTCGAGCCGTCGATTATTGTATTTTAGGTATCAACTCTAATTATAACGTCATAATTTAAAATTTAAAAGCAGAAATGCCACGTGAAGGATCAACACATATATATTTGTATTTCAACCAGAACAATATTCATGGAATTTAGAAGAAATTCCATAGTAATTCATTACGAGTGGAAGTAGCTCCACTATTTTGCGAATACATCAAAGAAACTAATAACTTATTGTACGCCATAATTCCTTCCTTGTACCATATCTTTGATTTTTGATTTTGATTTTGCGAGACAAAAGGGGGTCTTATGAAGGCCAGATCTCAAGTCTCAAGGCCAAATTCCAGAACTTGAGTGGAACATGGTTCTCACGTCAGACTATAATGTCTAAAATGAACCACATGCCCCAACCAACCCCTAGAACGGCTCCCATACACTCTCCATGCTGAATCGTGAGTCCCCCCTTTTCCCATATCATTACATGCAAAATAATAACCCGATGCAGGTCAATTGAATATGCCTAATTGAATTAGTTGCAATGATAGTGTTAACAGTAATGACAGTATAATATAGTAATTTAATAAAATGAATATTTACCTGTTAATAATGATCGAGGTTGGTGAAAAGTATGGGAAGTTGTTAGTAGATTTTACCATCACATAGTTAGTCGAATCCTTGGAAACCATCATCCCCGTCTTCAGAGAAACCTCTGAAATCCAGGATGTTCAGTTGCTCATCGCTACTTGAATCGCTGAGAGTAACTTCCGAGTCTTCGTATTCTGATTCCACCATTTCAGTGAACAATCTTGTCGTGGCTGATTTGAACTCACTTCTGTTATTAGCCACCTCTTGCCAATAATCCACCGATCGACCGCTTCTTTCTACATCCTGCCTTGCGCTGGTTTTCCAAGAGAAGCAGGGTCTTCCAACTTTTTTCTTCTCCGGGATCCTATACTCTAGGGCTTTCCTGATAATCCCCTGAGGTGCGTTTCTAACGACGTGTCCATAAAAGTTTAGACGAGAAACCCTGATTTTATTGTTTATGGTTCTTCCTTCCAACTCCCGTACAGCTATATACTGTGAATCAGACTGTTCATTGTTCGGTGAAGTCTCTACATTGACTAATTGTTGTTCTTGTGGTTGTTGCTGCTGTGACTGTTCCATGTTTTCAGATTCTTCTCCTTCACGAGACCCTGCATTACTCCTGCTCAATCTTTTTAGTGTAGACAACATCGTGCTCTCCATTCTACGGAGGGAGTTCCTATTACTTTTGAGTACCGTTGCCACTTCCATTGAATACGTCACTACCGGCGTTATCAAAGCGTGATACAGTTTCTTTACCACAGGCCATCTTACTGGGTGTTGCCGCAAAAAACCGCATAGTGTATGGAAGGCTTTGTATGCTTTCTTTATTCGATCTGATGTTGTCTGTTTCCGGGTTAGACTGCTGGTAATCGTTGCTCCCAGGTATGCCAGTTTCGTTACTAGGGTTAGTTTGTATTTTCCAAAATCATATGTCTGGTCTGGGTTAACGTTCCTTATATTGTACGGGTCCCTAAAAAATACTTTGGTTTTGGAGGTATTTATTTCCAAACCAATCGATGCTAATAATGGTTCCAATACAGATAGCAGATGTTCGACTTCGTCAATATTTTCACACAAAAACAGCATATGCCAGAATGAGCGGTAGTACGATACTCTCTATATGCTCCATATTTAGTTCTGGAATAAATTCCTTCATCGTGACAAGTACGTGATGCAACATGATAACAAACAAGATTGGGCTGATGGGGCAACCTTGTTTGATTCCTCTTTTCTTTCGTGTTATTTGCGTGCGTTGGCCATACCACTGCAAGGATGTCTCTTCACTCAAACACGCCTTAAGAATCCTGTTAACCAATGATTCGGACACGCCCATTTCCCGCAATATTGGGGAAAGCTTTGACACATCGATTTTATCAAATGCTTGCCGAAGGTCCACAGATACTATAATGACGGGTTTGCCTTTACGCCATTTTTCATCCAGTATCCGTCGAAGTACAAAAATCTGGTCCGTAGCGCTTCTTTTTCGCATGAAGGCCATCTGGTAATCGGGAATCTGCGGAAGTTGCTGTTGTACTCTGTTCAGCAATATTTTTGCATACAGTTTATATGCTACTGAGCATAATGTAATTCGCCTGTAGTCATTTGTCGATTGTGGGCTGGGTATTTTTGGGATTGGTATCTGTATTGTTGTTGCCCATGACACCGGGACTTCGTTGCTCCGAAAAACGTCGACTAGTAGTTCCACTAATTGATCCAGTAGGTTTTCAGATCCGTGTTTCAGCAATTCAGCTGCTATTCCATCCAGGCCAGGTGCGGAATTGTTACGCATTTCTATTATTATTCTTATCACCTCGTCCTTTGTAGGGTCTGGTCCCGGAGAGCGCTCGTCAGTTTCATCAGTTAGCTGAATATCTGTCCCCGCTCCTTGTTCTCGTAGCCTCATCTCCCAGTCTCTAATATACCTGAATGTTTTCACCATTTTATCTAATCCATTATCATGTTCTGTTTCTTCAAGAAACCTGTTGATTTTGTCTTCGAAATGTTGTTTAAAAGCATTTGCTTTATCGCGTCTGGCTTCCGCGCAGCTTTTCTTCAAAACTGGGTTCGACCGATCCAAAATAAGTTTGTGATGAATTTGATCGTACCGTTTATAAGCTTTCTCACGCCTTGGAGTCATAAGAGATGTGGGACAACTCAAGTGAGATTGTGCTGCTGTAGTCATAGCCGTAGCTATCTTTTCCCATTTAATTCCTTCCTTGTACCATATCAAAGCAGATTGTTTTCCATGATGTGAGAGGGGTCACCACAAATCTCGCGTAACATTTGAATAGGGCCTATGATCAAAATGTAAACAAACCGATTTTTGATACCATTCTGTAGCACTGGTAATTAGCTACCAGTCGTATAGGAATGTTCCGCATTATCAATAAAAATCATTAAAAATAACTTGATTTTAAAAACGGCCGATCCACGAAATTTTTCCAATCATTCATGCTAAAACGGCCTAACCTCGGGCCTAACATATATTTTTTTCGTTCGATGAGGTTCCATTCATAAGCCTAGCGACGTAGAAGGGCCGATGATTGAAAAATTTCAAATCAAAGCTAGGCGTTAAGAAAAGGCTTAGCAAAGGGCCTACAATTTATGATGACAAGCACAACGGCTTAACAAAAAGGGCCTAACCATTTAAAGATCCACAAAAAGGCTTATTACTGTGATATTAAATTTTTATCGATTTTCATGTATTTTTGAAAACGTTTCGCATGTTTTGGATGCTGTGTACTGAGATATAGTTACTATTGTTATTGTGAACAATATAAATGTTTAAAATACTTCAATTTAATTATATAGGAATTAAATACTGGCGGAAAAATTTACAATTCATTTTCTGGATTGTTTACATTTTGGACATAGGCCCTTTTCAAATGTTTCGCGAGAAATCATGAACATGCATATGGCAATTTTTCGTAACATTATGAAAACAATTCAGTTGTAAGAGAAGACATGGCAATTGAAAACTTAAGAGACATTATTCTTGGAATATCACATATCTGTTGCAAGTCAATTTTCTCGTTGACAATCGTAGTTGTTATTCACATCGTCGTGATTTTGCGCTGTTAAATTTGATGATTTTTTTATCACACAAGCTATCGTTCTTTGTTTTTCCCGTTCTGTACACTTGCAAAATTTTACCGGTTGTTAGTGGAAAGTGCAGTTCGTTGTGATAATCGTCTATTTGGAGCATATCAAGCTGAACATTGCATTAGGTCCTAAGTAACATTGACCGATTCTCTTCGTCGACTTTCTCTTTGTATCCCCACGGCCATCTTAAGTCATTCTCAGGTATTTTCAGCACACATATCGATAAAAGAAGCTTTCATCTAGCATCTAATACGACAAACAACAAGAAACGGTTATGTGTTCATGTTATTAACTGCCGTTATACGCATAAGAGTCCCACGGTGCATAAGGATTGCATAGAACATGGGACAGTTATGCATATAACGGCAGTTAACGAAAGAGAAAGTCGACGAAGAGAATCGATCAATGTTACTTAGGACCTAATGCAATGTTCAGCTTGATATTCCGTGTTGTGAAAACATTGAAAAAGTTATCTAATCGGTCATCTTGAAGTGTTTACTATTGTTATTGTCGATAACAGACGCTCTGCAGAATCCAACTTCTCCTTGCGTATTAGAGCATCTTCACCGCTGTTTCTAAATTAGATTTGGAAACTGACCCATGCGCCTGTGACCAATGCTCTAAACCAGTTAAGGGCAATGAAGAATCCGTCTCCTGCATGGCTTTTTGCGACTGGATGATTCACCTGAAATGCGGCGGCACAAAGTTGAACAAGGCTTTTCTGAACATTGTCCACACTAGCCCGAACTTGTTTTGGATGTGCAACGAGTGCGCGAAGCTGATGAAATGTGCCCGGTTCAAAACTGCTGTTTCGTCGTTTGGTAGTGCGATTAATTCAGCCCAGTGGCAGGCGCGTAGGCAACATGTTATACCGTGACAGCGGGCCCAGAACTGCAAAATAAACGATTTGAGCCCGGGACATGCTGCCTACTGTCAAACGCTGCTGATGGTATAGGCCTTGTCACTGGCCTGGATTAATTCTATCACCGAGAAACTGGAAATCGCACACGCTGAGCTTGAGAAGGAAATGACTAAACAAGGACAGCAGATCGCTCAACTATCGAAACGAATCGCATTGACAACTCCAACACACTTGAGATCAGGCGATCGTATGCGTCAACCATACGCCAT